GAGTCCCACCCGAGTGATTTTTTTCCCAACTTTCACTCGGGAGGTAACACACTGAGTATACAGAGTTTAAACGTCGGTGAAGGGCACAACCTATAATTTGATTTATATCACCCCGACGCAAAATTCCATCGTATAATGGTTTATGCGGTACCCGCTGCTATGTACATCAGATTCGAACCAGCCAACCGATCCCATTAGCTCGGTGGTCGAGTGGTAAGACACCTGCACTAGAAAGCAGGAGGTCGTGGGTTTGAGTCCCACCCGAGTGATTTTTCCCAACTTTCACTCGGGAGGTAACACACTGAGTATACAGTGTTTAAACGTCGGTGAAGGGCAAAACCTATAATTTAACATGAATCAAGTTTACACCAGCAGCAGTTAGAGCATTGCTTAAGACAAGTACAAAAGCATTTCCGAATCGTCCAATTCATAACCAGCAACTCGGTGATCAGATACGCATTTAATTAAGAACAATACGTATTGCGACACCCTACGCATAGTTTTGCCTATGTCTCATTTCAAAGTTACTAACATAATGTTTGTAGGGCCGACAGCAAATTCTTTTTGGTATAACAGGCGAGTCAAATGCGAAATCCAATCTATGTCTGTCTATAGCTCCGCAGACTTAGAAACGGAGAACTTAGCAAGATCACATTCAAGACCGCAAATGTTTGTTTTTTCCCCCAACTGATGTGGTCAGATAATGCTTGATACCACGCCAATAACTAAAGGCCTAACTTCGTTTGAAAGAAGCTGTCTTGTTTCGGACGATACCTACCCTGAATTTAATCAGTCACGAAAAGAAAGCATCGCACTGACCTTAGAAACGACACGAAGGTAAACATTCTGTAGGCACTTTGGGTGGTTCTTAAGAACGCTAGCGCTGAAATTCAATACTGCGTCTTGAACATAACCGTGAATAATACCCATGGAGAGTTAAGTTCGGGAAACGTTCAGAATGTTGATAACATGTCAAATACGGCAATCTCCACTACGTCTTATGATTCAACTGAAATAAGGAAGATTAAGCCATATTATGTAAGGATTTCCTAGTATTTAGAAAGTTACGATTCACGGTATATCGGACAGCAGAAAGAAATCACGCTATTCGTTTTTCAAAAAACAACAACCTGGAAATGGATTCAACAATAGGCATAAAGAAAACAGTAAAACAAGATCTGCTCCAACTAAATTAACTAAGAATAATGCCGTTTCTCGTCATAATTGATATTGTATTGATATTACATCATCTTGATTAAACAAAAAAATACGATCTAAGGTTTACTGGACGGAGACAGGGAAGTGCGCACAAACTTTAGTGCAATGAAAAAGAAGAAAAGAGTTTGGAATACGCATAGGTTGAACACAAGATAATGGGAAGCTCTGTAGCGGATCACAACCATGTCAAAACCTCTTCTTGTATTAGGTAATGTTTAAAACGTGCATCTCATCTCAGGTCCTATCAAACCAACAATCGTCTTTGCATATATTCATTTTAGGACTTTTTCAGTATGAACATAGCATTCAAGAACATGTATGCGTTGAATGATCTTGTAAAGGCTGCTTTTTTTTTTAAACATGTATCAAATGAAAGCGCTCTTCCCTGACTGATAGTATTAACTGATACCTAAGCTGCATGTGCGTTTTTTTCTTGAAGGGGGGGGGGGGGGGGGTGGGGGGGTACGTTTAAAAAGTGGGATGCTAGCAATTCCTCAACGAAAGGTCATCCCAAGTATTATGTAAAGATTTCACTTGGCACTGTAATAATATCACTCGGGTTCGCCGTGAACTGAAGTCCGTCGGCGGGGCCCATGTTTTATTCATGGGAGTCATCGGCGCAATTCACGGTACTTGAAAACTCGCTTCCCCTCACGGCGCGCCGGCCGCAGCGAGCGTAGTAGACCTATAGCCGCGCTCGGTCGAAGGGGGCATTTTGTTTCAACAAACCCCCCGAGTGCGGGGTTTCGCATCCCGGGGACACGGGCTAAGGGAGGTGACTTTCAAGTGCATCTCTCAACGGCATTGATTGTTGTATTCGATCTCCATTCTGAACTCGAGATTGCTATGATCGCATATAGCATGCAAAGGACGCAGCCGATAATAGATACACAAGTTATCTCCATGGAATCCCACGCATGATCACAACCAAACGTGACGTCTGCATTACCACAAAGATAACAATGCTGTTGAATTATACACCAATTTTTACACTTTGACAGTTGGTATGCAAGTGATATCATACCATATCAAAGTCTCATATTTCATGTAACACAAACGTCTTGAGCAAATTTACAATTGCATGAACACCAACCAGTTATAATCTTTCAGGTAAATACTTGTTAGGCTTTAACATTTCTGAGATAGAGCGAAATAATATTGAGAAGTCCTGTGTTCAACTCAAGGGTCGAAGGTGCACTTTTTGTTGTTAAAGCAGCGTCCCTTTTAGCAGGGCCTATATTTGTGCCTTTATTGGCTATACGCAAAGTTGGATTATGCAACACTAATAACAAATGCGGGTCAGATGGAGGCAATAACATATCCTGAAGATCGCACAAGAAATAGTTTGTCACGTCTATATAAATGGCAGATACCACCTCTTACAGTAAAAAAATGTCAGTTTCTCTGTGCTAAATGTTTTAGTCGTGGTGCGTCCTCAAGTATGAATGCCATGGAAGATCTTGGAATCATAATTCTACTATTATCAGGTAACTTTTGTATTGTATAGAGGTCAGGAATTTGTCGATTACTGAGACGCTTATTTTTCCCATAGCAGACTGTACACAGATTAATAGCATAGGTAGAGTCTTGTGAATAGGGGGAGGGGGGGGGGGGGTGAAGCACCAAACGAGGGGAAATCATAATCACCGTTTACGATAACAAACAACCTCGCAGAGGATATCTCAATTTTCCGCGGAATTGGAAGTGACGGGTCCCTACCTCCGGCCGTTCCGGTCGATTTAATAAAACCCGCCAAAACTGTTTCTCGCGTCCACGGCCTCCGTACGCGGTAGCCGACAAAACCGACAAACGGAAATGTTTGCCGAACACTTTCTTAGCCAAGAACCGAACGGATCTAGAGAGTCTGGTCTATTTACTGAGACAACACAAAACACTTTTGTCTGGTGGTGTGAGCTGATTAAAATGGCCTTCGCCTGTTGAACTACCGGGTAACAAACCCGTTACCGCTGAGAAAAATCGAGGCCCGGCCGTTTTAGCATGCGTACATTAATTAAGCTTTTATTTATTAAGGGTAAAAGCCACTAGGCCTAAGTGGTCTACGCGCATGCGATACTGTAATTACACATTACATACCGAGTGCAGTTGGTAAATGAATTATAGTGTCTTGTGCTTTAAAAAATATAGTTAGGAAGGATAGTTTTCTTTTAGAAAAAAAGACTCATATTAGTAATTAATTAAATTCAATATAATTAGGTGACAATTTTAAATTAAAGTTGTCACCGTTTAGATAAAAATGTGATAACCGGGTATTAAATTTAATTCAATTCATTTCAATTCTATGACGATAACCAAGCTGACATTACATGGGTGCTTCCGCCAGAACATTTGTGTAATCGGTACCAACACGTTTATGAGTTTTGCATTGTTCTTTTCACTCTACTTTGCATATATGTTACCAGTTCATCAATTAAATAAATTATTGTGCAGTGGGGACGCAAAACACAACATGAGTCATAATGACGTTGTGTCCAAAACTTCTCCCTCTAGCGTCCGTCAAACAAAATCTGTTTTTTTTTTAATTCGAAATCTATTTTCTGAAATTTGCTCTGATGTTGCCCTCAGAAACAAATCCATTAGCAAAGTGTCAAAATTATGACGTTATCAGAGCGGAAGCTTTTCTAGGCAGAATTTAGAAAAGGTCATTTTTTTTAATCCCTGTTTTGTTCAAATCAATCATTAGGTGGCCAATAGCGATTATTGTGAAACAATTGCTACTACATCAACTTTTCTTGATGTCATTCATCCGAATGATGTGGCGTCATCAAAACCGGACGTCCAGTGCAAATCAATATATACACAAAAGCGTTCGTGTAATTTATGAAAATGTTTTCCTGCGACTGTCTTTGGTCAAAGTATTAAATGCATACACCGATTAAGTAATCTGAAATTCACCATTCCTGCCATTTTAATCTTTACAACCAGAATAGACCTCCCAATTATAAATGTGGAAACAAACTTCAATTAACTTCACTCTTTAGTCTGAAAGAAGACTTACAAAGCTTTCGGAAGTTGCTTTAATGATAGCTTTTCGGCCAAACCAAATTCGAAATATAAGAAAAAATCGGCAACTTGCCATTGCAACTACCAATCGGTTACGTCTAATTTGTATTCGTTGTTAACAATTACTTTAATTGATCGCCTCTGAAGAAGTCTTTGCTAAATACGAAATATATCAGGCCTCTCCAACTTTTTGATTTGTATATTTCAGGTCAATCCAGTCAGTGAGCAGTTTGCAGCAGCTTAATTATTTTTCACTTTAATTGGTAGATTAATGGGACAATTTTTTGTTAAGAATCCTTTTACATTTAGCCGTGCTTTCTTCACGTCACTACCGAGCACATGAAACAAATATATCCCAAAATGTTACTCGGTTCCCTATCTTAAATCGATACGCACATTTCCGTTATTGTTTGTTTTTTTATAAACCACTAAGTAACTAATACACCCAGTTGTAATTTAGAATGCACCTCCATTTAATTAAATATATCTGGTACCTCAATAAGAATCATAATGAGAAAAAAATCACAATTTTTGACACCGACTTCATTTTTTTTTCACTGCATAATTCCAAAGAAGTATTTTGGTTTTCGAGATTAAAGTGTGAAAGATACTGGCTAAACTGGCAGAGGTTATATAGAAATGTACCTTCTGATTGAAGTCAAACGATTATGTCATGCACCTCTGCCAGTGTCGTAAAACTATGATTTGAAAATAAGTAACTAAAACATGCATATCGGGAAAAAAAGATTGGAAAAACTCACCTGGAATGTGTGGAGATTGCTTTGAATGACAGCGAGCCCGAGCCGAAACCAGTCAGCGAGAAAAGTCGAAACAATACTGACACCCCAAAAATGACTGACTGCGCGAAGGTGCGTTTGTCATGTGTCACACCAACTCACACCTGACGTATATTATATAGATAGCAGTCTCATTGGTCCTCAGCCCAAGCATTGATTGTCGTGACTGCCTATTGATTCTGTTTCTGATGATTACCGGTAGCTAGCCCTCCACGCGGCCCGTGGGCATGCGCAGTGGGGTGCAGACAGGCACAGCGCGCGCGTGGGGAAGGCTTGAGCGCGTGCACGCGCGAGTTGTGCGGGGGGGGGGGGGGTACTCAGACTCGAGCACCAATTTGTGAAATTGTCATTAGGGCCGGGGTGGGAGATTGCAAGACACGACGACAGACTGGGGGTGAGAGAAGGAGCTGGGTGGATGAGAGAAGGCCCGAGCAGGGAGCAAGGTGGAAAAAGAGGAAACCCGCCGGAACGGGTAATAATAGGGGCATTACGGGGTAATATGGATAAGAAAATTGCACTTGTTAGATTCCGCTATCCTTTGCGTTGAGAAAAAGGGTATATATTCTGGCGGCACAGAACATGTTAGACCAAAAATGCATCAAATTATTTGAGATGCTGACTTAACAAATCCAGAGTAACAATTAAGAAATTAATCAATCGAACCTGGAACAATACAATCTAATGTCAATTTATATTTTGACTGATAAAAAAAAAATACAAAATATTTCTTATTCCTATTTTTTTTAATTGAGATAACTTCAATTTTAGACTCTACAAGCATACCATCAGTAAGTTCACACAAACAACTTAATTTGTACAGGAAAACACTTAATTCCTACATATCAACATCGGCAAGAATTGTTACTTCTACAATTATTAAATTGTCGATCTAAAGGTATCGCAATATCCAAGACGAACTGCTGAGCTGGACCGCGAAATGTCCAAAAGTGGCGCTCGGTTGCGGTATATATCCCGCAGCAAATTATGCAAAACCACCGCAGGCGTTGTCATAAACAATCCAAGCCGTAATGACATTACACGCAGCCCTGTCGCTCTCATCTCCAATTGTTTATAGAAACCATGCAGAGTGTAATTTGACAGTTTTAAGGGATAGCCACGGCAAAGCCCAGCCCGAAAAAAATAAATAAATGAATCAACCATTTAACAAGAATTTCGTTAAGCCAGCACTGCTGCTTTCCGAAATTTATAGAATGTATTACATTAATTATCTCATATCGGGATGTAAACCTGCGATGGTCTGTAGGTGGCAGGTTCCAACCCCACTCCAGTCAAATTCTTTGTTCAAATTTATAATGATTATTAATGAACTTAGTTAGTACAACAAAATATTGAAATGAACAATTGAAATCCAGTATTTCTGTCAACGAATTGTCTCTTTATCTCTTTGCTATTGAAACACCACTGTAAAAACAAACCATACTTGAAAACACCAAATCAAAAAAGTATGTATCTCCTTTCAACTACATGAATTACCATTTAACATGAAGTTAAAAAAAAATGCATTACTGATAACCAAACAGCAGGGGATTCAACTTTAATTTACAAATTGAATTTTTCATCTAACCACGCAATTAATAGTTAACTAATAAATATAGTTGGAGGACAATTTGTAATGAAATTCTCTTGATTTGTGTAAAAAAAAGGTAATAGCCGAATATTAAATTCAATTGTATTTAATGACAATAATCAAGTTAACATTACAAAGCGCGTCCAGCAAAGCATTCTGACATTTGTGTTCAGCCTACATTCCAGATCTCAGTTGCTAATATCGACATTACCACGTCGCTTCTATTGACACAACAACATCTGAAAGAGAGTTTCGTCAACGATCCGACACATTTACATATCATTAGCGCGCAATTCCGAAGCACTTAAATCTAAGTCTATACGCGCACGTCATAATACGTATATAGGACAAACCACAGTGCATATTTGAATTGAGGTGAGTAGTAAGTGTACATTTTGGAGTAATGCACTCGGATCTGTAACATGGGAACGAGCTTTCGGTGGGCATAAGCGGAATCCGGAAAAAGGCACTTTCGATGTAAAAGCCCATCGGAATACGAATTCCTTTCAGAAAAACTTAAACCAAGCAAACACACTAACAATAGTGGCAAGTATTATCAGTTTAAATGACAAGGAATTGGGTAGAAAAATCACAGTTCTTCTTGTAATACTCGTTTAAACACTAAAAACTACTGTTTAGTGTAAGAGCTAGTCTCGAATTAAAAAAATCCAAGAATTTTCTTTTCACTGCATAGCAAGGCTTACCAAAATCATAAACTTGAAGGAGTGTTCATGCGCCGACTGCAGTTATAAATTAGATTTAGTTCCATTACTGCCATCTGCTGAGATATCACATCATAAAAAACAAGCATCGAGGAAATCGATAAAAGAGTGGTTTTGGTCGTTTCAGTCGGATTGTGTACAAACAGGATATCAGCAAGTCCGTTGTTTATTGCTTGAATTTCACAAAGCCATCTCAAGCTTCACTGTTGAGAAGGCTAAGAAAAGGTAAACCCAACCCATGACTTTTCCACCTAATCAATAGATTTTTGTCTCGATATCAAATTCCCGTTCAACACCATGAATATCATAGTTCATGTACCGGCCATGTCCGTTCTTTTTTATTGTGCGTTGCCTTGCCGACATGCTACGGGACCCGCACTAAAAGATCTGCTGATGCCTCGTTTTTGTTTAAACTGCTTAATCTAATTAGCCATTTTTGAAGTAATAATCTGAACCATTTGCCAGTTGAGTTGGTAAGGCACATCTCTGCGTTTATCGTTCCAGGAACAGATAATAAAAATGCACCTTGTACTGTACATGAAATTCCATATCTCCACCAACCATAACAAATACAGATATTGTAACAATGGGGATTAGAATATTTTAGTCATTCCCATTAGCTGCTTTAACTCTTCCCTAAAATAATTATGTTTATATTTTTCTTTAAGAATGTAAGTTACAAACATTAGTAAGTTGCTATAACTAATCAGAAAACGTATTGATGTGTAAATATCGATATTTAAAGGAGAGTAGTATCTTTTCTCCGATTGACTTTGACAAATTATATCATTTAAGAGCCGTATTTTTAAATGTTAGTTTGAATTTTACGTTAAATACTTATTCGTGTTATAGTTAAATATTAAATGTTATTGCATTGGGGTAATTAGTTTGCTTTTGGTGAACCTGAAACAACTAAATATATATATAAATTGTTTAATAATGCAATATTACTTTGTGCGCAATAATGGGCGGTACATCAAAATATCGAACATTATTCTGCAACTTTAAATAGTTATCTGATCACAAGCCCTTCCCGATACTGTAAAATGTGATCTTGTTCTAATGACTTGCACATGTCGCTGTCTCATAAAGCCAGCTGCCCTAGTAATAAGAATTGGATGCATACAAACGTATCGCATTGTTTATCTTAAACATTACCCATCAATGCATCGTTGGCGATAGGGAAACATGGAAGCTTCTGACGGAGATGAAACATCAAAAAAAAGTAGGCTAAGTATCTTTAATGTGCGAAAAAGTGTAGCAGACTCCTGGGCGACAAGGCAAGGTCTGAGAATCTACCATCGGTGTGACAGGTGGCGGTGGTCAGGCTCCTTATGCAGCCACATCCCTAGCGCGCTAATTCCGACAGAATTAACACGCGTGCGCAGTCGACTGCGTAATCAGTAACGATTTGCAATAACATGCTGACGGTTGATTTCCCATCATGCAACGGGGCTAATTGCGTTCAGGCGCTTGGAAATCGGTTGATTTCTGGTGGAAGGTGCCTCGAACGCGGCTGGAGGTTTAGGCTAATGAGTTGAAAGAAAAGGACAGTGAATTCTGTTACTAGCCGTGTAAATTGATTAAGAGATCGCGTCTGCTCGTGGGAATGTTAAATAAAAAGCCCAAGATATACCTGAAATGGACATGGTGTAGTGGTAAATTCATATAAGATCTAGACATGCAGCAGAGTAAACACAGCCAGCAGTCAGAAATTGGAGGAAAATAACTCCCATGCGCTTTATTGTATAAAATGGTTATTAATTTCACAATGAAATTTAAAACCGAATGGGAAATGTGAGAAATATACAGCACATACATCATGATCTGTAACATTTGTACACTATTTTCAACATTCTGTGTTGTTCTCCGACGGTGAAAAGCACTGAGTATTCTAATCAACACTTGTGAATTAATACACATAAACGTGAATTTTTATACCAAAAATGTACCTAATGCATTCATACATGAATAATTTTTCTTATCTGCTGCCCTGAATAACCTGCACTTTGTGTTTAACGTTTACTGAGCGTTCAGTCAACCATGAAATTTGAAGTACTTCAAATTCACTCTCCACATTTTTATTAGCTTTTTTAATGTAGACTCAACATATCATGGGGTCCACATTGTTCCCATGCGATTCAATGACTGTTACGACCTATGACTCCCCGTTAGTGCACGGCAACTCACCCAAAAAAACCCGAAGACAATAAAATGTATTTGGCCAGTGGCCTTAATTGGCAATTAGTGCTAAGTGCTCTTGATTGTTTTACTTTAGAGAGCGCGTAGAGACCGGCGTTCCCGCTGCTGTTTTATTGGTCTCCAGCCGGTAAATGGTGTATTAGCACCAACTGTGGGGATTCCCATTGCGTCTGGGAGTATAGACACATATGTATAGGGTAACGATGTATGCAGCGATTAAAACACCCGTGTGTTCGCCAAGCGGTTTTGCGTGTGTATGCACATTCATTAACATGCTCAAAGATACAGTCATCATTCCATTACAATATTCTACCCCGCGATCGATCACTGGAATCGAATACGAAAATACTTCCAACCGCTTTTTTTTTTATAATGCCTTTGATGTAGCTCAGAGTGTAGTATCGTGCGAGAGTTTGTTGAAAACATGTCTGCTTATAAGGCGTGCACTCAGATACCATGCCTAATATAAATTATTGCAGTTGCTACATATACAGTGGCTATTCAAACAATAGTATCAAGTAAATGATTATGGTGTAGGAAAAATTATCTTTGATGTTGTATTAAAGATCAAATAATTGCTTTATAATAAAACCGAAAAAAACATACTATGGTTGTAAAAAAAGTCACAAAATAAAGTATCT